TCGACGCGCACGAGGATGTAGAACGGCAGCAGCGAAGTGTCGGTGCGGAGAAACAGAGACGGGTCTGCAGTCAAAGGAGCAAACCCAAGTGCCGCGTGTCTCGTCCTCAATGTGTCGTACCACTTACGAGGCGCCTGGCGGAGACCGTAGACTGGCCGTCGGAGGCTCCACTGGGTACCTGCAGGAAACGACCCAGTGAAGCCAGGTGGACGGTGCAGCCAGATCTCCTTGTGCAGGCTGCCCTGTAGGAAGGCTATGGTGAGGTCAAGAGAGTGAAGCTCGTAGTCACGCTGAGCGGCAACGTGCAGTAGCACCCAAAGAGTGGTCATCTTCGGGGTAGGGGAGAAGGTCTGGAAGAAGTCAACTCCCTGTCGCTGACTGAAGCCTCGTGCAACGTAACGAGCCTTGAAGACAGGCGGAGAACCCGGCGGCCGCTTCACCCTGAAAATCCACATGCCATCGACAATGTTCGCCCCAGGAGGGGGAACGATTCGTACGTGCTCCTCACGTGCCTTTTTCCTTTTTCGCGTTTTCTTTTTTAGCCGACGCAGATGCAGCGGGTAGTGCAGTTTCTGCGGCTGTAACGCTGACGGGCTGCTGCTGTAGAAGGGATAGCAGCGCGTTGACCTGGTTCGGGGTCAACGCCTGCGTTAGTGCAGGGGCGGTCGTCGCGTCAGACGAGGAGACCGCAGTCCGCCTCCTCTGGCGCTGACGCGACGGTCCAGCCGCGGGTGCTAGGGTGTGCTCGGCGTCAGGTGCGTGTGCCGCGCCAGCTGCCGTCGCCACTTGCGCCGCAGGTGCCACTGGCGCCACAGGGGCCGAAGGGTGCTGCTGGGCGTCGGCACTTTTGTTGAACCTCGAGCCCGCCTAGCAGCACGTCCACTGCAGTCGGGGCGGGCGGTCCATCTTCTGCCCGGCGCTTGTTACGGCGGTCGCCTGCAAAATCGCGGGTGTTACGGTCAGAGTCGGAAGCGGGGTTGGACGAGTTCCCGTTGTTAAGTGTCGTCGTCGGTGCCATCGTTGAGCGATTGAAGTTAAAAATATCGCTAAGTAAAGTCGAGGGTGACTCGCCTCTAGGAAGCGATTTTGTTCTAGCCAGCTTGGAAGGAGAGAAAGACTGCGTGAGCGTGTCAGAATCCCAACCACTGGACCATTGGGATAAAAGGGCTTGTTTCAATAGCGGGTCAGTGCGCCCATAACCCCCCAGGCAAACGCGCCTGTAACCCCCCCTAGGATCGATCGGAGATCTCACAGTGTAGCTCTACTGACACCCCCCCACACTGGGAGGCCCATGACTGAGCACAGTGGCAACGACCAACATGTGCATACACCGGGATTCGAACCCGAAACCGCTCTAATACCATGTCAGAATCCCAACTACTAGACCATTCGGATAAAAGGGCTTGTTTCGGTAGCGGGTCAGTGCGCCCATAACCCCCCCAGGCAAACGCGCCTGTAACCCCCCCTAGGATCGATCGGGGATCTCACAGTGTAGCTCTACTGACAGAGCGGAAATGTTGTGTGAGCCGTTTGAAATAGAGAAACGTGGGTGGAGGGAATGAGCTCCAGCCCACGGTTTTTGTAGTTGGAGAAGGGCGTTTAGCGCGCTTCGACGATGCCAATTGTGCAGTACAAGCAGCTTCGCTTTCACAATACACAATTTAAAAACACAATGTGTGTTTAGAAAATATAATGTCTGATGTGTTGGAAATAGAAACACAAGGAAACATATATGCTGTTAGATTTCACTTTAGTCCTCTATATAAGCCTCTAGGCCCTACAATAATTGTACAATTATTGTAGGGGCTGCATTATTGGAGTCTAGAGGTTTGAGGGTAGAATTATTGGTACTCCATTATTAGAGTGACCATTATTGGTGGTACAATTATTGGTGTGGAGAGATAGGGCAGGGTGGCTGGTAGCATAAATTCCCTGCTGTGTGGTTTCATTTCTCAATCCATTGTTCTGAATCCATTCAGTTGCAAGGTTCTCTTGCTATTCTATTTCACAATCAAGGCTTCCGCTACGCCGGCACTATGCCTTTCTAGCATGGTATCAGAGCTACTCTAGGGGGCATGCTGCCAAAACTTGGTCAGAACACTGTGATCATTAATATTGGGCAAGCACATAAGCAGACTGGCACAGCAAGAGGCAACGATTGGATCAAGGAAATGGCACGGTTCGACGATGAAGTCGACACTGGATACGAGGCGGTTGAAGAAGCAATCTTGGCTCAACATGAGCACCTGGAGAACATGATTGCAAAGGCGCCGCCAACACTTCAAGCATCATTGAGAGCGAAGTTAAACATGCAAATTGGTGAAAAGAGTGGCAGATTTGATAAAGTGGGTGTGGAAGGTGTGAGATTGGAATCTTACACTATTGGTGCTCCCCCACTTCAACGTTTTGCCACTAACTCTTATTCCTTCGGAGCCCCCGTAATGGACAGATCTCACCTTCTTGAAGACAGCAACATACCTCCTCGCGCGCCTCGTCCACTAATGGGAGTGGATCCTGCATGGAGCGCGGAGCACACGGGACATGGAATGCAGTCAAATGGTGTTTCGCGACGTGATCGCGTGGATATGGTGGAACATCACTCCTACGGTCAAGACGATGAAACGCAATGCATGGCTGGTCAAGGGCGCAAAGGCTCGCATACAAAAGAGAGTACCGGGACCAAGAATGCAGCAACTTCAAGCGGAGGGCAGCAAGCGACTAAGGGAGAGAAAATGAATGGCAATGATGGAAAGGGCGGGCGCTCATCTCTCATGTGCTGGTTTTGCAAGCAACTGGGCCACCCGTTCTACAAGTGTCACACGGCGCCACCAGGATGGTCACCACCGGGGTGGGAACAACAAAACAAAAGGAGGACCAACCGACGTACCAACAACAGCCGTTCGACCTCTCCTCGAAAGAGTGGCAGCCCCAAACGTGACAACACGATAAAGCAGCAAGGGGCAGCCGGGAAAGACAACAAACGGACGGTTACATGCATTGCGACGGTTCGATCATCACAGACGACCTCACCAAGCTCTGGAGGTTCTCTATGGTTGCTGGACAGCGGATGCAGCCAGCACATGACTTCGGATAAACAATGGTTTGAAGGTTTGAAAGAGTTGGACAAACCAGTACAAGTGGAGCTTGCTGATGGGAGCACTCTGAACAGCTCAATGGTGGGCACAATTAGAGTACATGCAACCGATGGGACAACGGTGCGCTACACCGACGTGCTCTACGTACCTGGTTTGAAGTCTACTCTCCTCTCTTACTGTCAGCTGCTGCAAAAGGGAGCTCGGATTCACACAAACGATGGTGGAGACACCGGAATCTCCATGCCTGATGGAGATGGGGGTGTACGGATTGGGCTAGGCAAGAACGTACATGGAGTGCTAATGGTGGAATATGAGCCAGCACTTGCTTCTGCCCATGAATCTGGACATACTCATGAGGATGCACCATCAAATGCGCATGGCCATGGAGGATTGAAAGGTCAATCTGCTTCTGCATCCGTCACCGACCGTATCGCGCACATGGCTCGTGTCGTGAGGAACATGACACGTAACGTTGATGACATGCTGCTGGATGCTGGGACTTCGTTTGGACACCAGCAGCAAGCGAATGAAGTCTCACCCCAGGTTGTGGTGAGGACTTCTGGGGAAGAAGGAAATGACTATGGACCAAATTTTGGAAAACATGATCTCCCTGGACATGATGCAGCTGCTATGGTCGATGCAGCCAAAGGAAAAGGAGGTGCTGCAGCAAATGGCTTACCTGCAGCAGGCGTCTCTCTACCAGTGGAGGATGAAGATGGTGCTGGAAACAAGGTGGGATATGCACCTACGGGCGTGCGCATGGTTGCCCTGACGTACAAGGAGCTGAAAAACATGACCAAGGACTCGCCCGCACCCACCAGTGGACACGACATCACCTGCAGCCGCGTGTGCGGCGTCGAACCGATTCCACGTGAAGCAACATCTGCGTATGGTCAGCAAGACAATGATGCTGGTGCAACACTCACACGAGCGGGCTTCTCGGGGTGTGCTGCACAACCGAACATCACGTAGCTCCACATGTCTCACTCATGTGTTTGCACATGTGCACATGTTTGCACAAGTGCATGATCACAAACACATGGGTGAGAGGGGGAGTGGGGTGTGGAGCATTCTATACGCTGGAGTGGGTGGCAGAAGTTCATACTTCAGTTTCATTATCAGAGTCTACGGCAGTCAGGTGCCAAAGGAACGACCTACGGTCAACATGGCACAATAAAAGGGGTGTGGAGTGTGGTCTGCCTCACAATGGGGCAAGATCTGGGAGTTCATTTACACAACAAGGGTCACTGATGCTGATGTCATGCGCCAGCAGCTGAGTGAAGCGCACAGCCATGAGTGGATGCACTACTTTGATCAAGGGCAGAAGGCAACCTAATGTATGTGCACACCTGCTGGAGCTGCGGAAGTGTACCAAGCCGCGCTGGAGCTGCATGAGATGCAGCCACCGTCTGCCAGCTTACCATGGAGCAGCTGCTGCTGGCCGTGCCGGACGACAGCTGCTGGTGCTGCAGTCCGCCAAGTGCTGGTGCAGGGCGTCAGAAGCTGTTGATGCTGCTGTCGCCTGCCAGGAGCTGCTGGTGCTGATGGAGGCCAGGTGCTGCCGCCACTGCTGCCATGCGCCTGCAGCCGTCCGCCTCGCTTCTGCCAGGAGCTGCTAGAGCTGACGGAGGCCAGGTGCTGTTGTTGCTGCAGTGTGCAACCGGGTGCTGCTGGTGCAGGAGAAGGCCGCGAGCTGTTGCTGTCCGCCGGCTGCAGCTGCTCCCGTGCGCCAGCTGGTGTGAAAAGGGGATAGCATCACAAGTGGAAGCAGGCATGAGTAACTCTGCGTTCAGAACAAGAGAAGGCATTACGAGGTACAAGGCACCGTTATAGTGTGAGACAGGGGGAGAAAGCTGGAGACTCACTCACCACGGTGTTGCAATGTGCCAGGCGCTGCTGGAAGTGCTACCGCCCCACAGGTGTTAATAGTGCTGCTGCCGCTCGCCAGGCACTGCTGTTTCTGCTCCAGTTCACCACCAGTTGCGGCTGCTGTCCACCACCAGCTCGTGAGCCGCTTAGCTGCTGCTGCATGGCAGCAGGTGGAGTTGCAGGCGGGCGGGTGAAGCTGCTGCCGCCATGTTCAGCTGCTTCCGTGTGCCACCTGGTGTAGGAGGGGGGGCAGCACAGGGTAACAAGGGTGCATAAGATACGAGGGTGAAAAGAAGTCAGGACTTGGGTGCAGCAGAGAGGAAGAGCACAACACTCGCTCAAACGGATCTGACCTGTAAGGAACACCTCACCTCGGCAGACGAATGGGTAAGCAGCCCTTTGCTGCTAGTCGTCTGCAGCTCATCCGCCGCTATTGCCGCGAGTGTGTCGCCACTGCAACCCGCTGATGCTGCAGCCGAGCGCCGGGTAGTGCTGCTGATGTGCGACACATGCTGCACGCTATTGAAGTTGAAGCTGTTCATCGGCACGAGAAGCTGCCCTGCACAAGCTGCTGGCGGAGACGCCTCTCGTCAGACACTGCTGGTGCTGGCCGCCAGCTGCTGCTGCACCCGTGCGCCAGCCGCTGGTGCTTCTCTGCACATGATGGTTTGAGGGGGAGCATCACAAGACAAGACGATTAAGGAAGAGAGCGAAATTCAAGAAGAGTGGAGAAGGAGAAGACGAGCAACTGCAGTGCTAGGAGAATGCAAGGGTGTTCTTCACCACCACAGCACGAGTCAGGGGGGGAACGCCAAGAGTTTACTCACCACATGCTGGGCGACAGATGCTGCCGCCGTCCGCTGCTGTTGCTGCCGTCAGCTGCAGCTGCGACCAAGAGCTGCTGCTGCCGCCCACCAGGTGCTGCTGGTGCTGCCGGGGGTAAGGAGCTGCCGCCACCGCTGCTATGCTACACCTGCAGGTGGTGGGAAGGACAAACAGTGGAGAAGGAGGTTAGTCACGTGACACAGGCAAGTTTCACAGCTACACTTTGAAGAATGAAAGGTGACTCTTGTGGTCCGAGGGAGAAAGTGTGAGGAAGATAGTGTAGCGGACCGCCAGGTGCTGCAGCTGCGGCCAGCTCATACCATTGCCTGCCGCCTTACCTGAAGCACGATGGCATCAGGAGCTGCAGCCGTGCGTCACCAGCTGCCACTGCCGCCGCTCATCATGGTGGGGTGAGCGAGCCAGGAGAAGGAGGGGAGCGTCAGGTGCAAGCTCGGTCGAAGATGATGCAGCACGTGCGCCACAGGTGCTGCAGCTCGTAAGTATATGTGCGCCAGCCGCTGCAGTCGTGGGCGTCAGCAGGAGAAACAGTCACGCGATAAGGGGAAAGGTCGCGCGCAGCAGCCCGTCCGTTTCTGCAGTCGAGCGCCGGCCACTGCAGCCACGCGCCAACCAGCAGATGCGCATCGGCCGCTGCAGACAAGCGCTAGCTGCTGGCGACGCACTGCTGGTCGTCGCGTTCTGCGCCGTTGGCACGTCAGCAGCTAAAACAGCCGCGCGCCAGCGGCAGAAATCAAGCGCCATCAGCAGCAGCAGCGCGCCTTACTGATTAAGACGCACGACAGCTGCTAAGGGGCACCTTCTGCTGCAGCTGGTCGACAGGCATTTCGCCACGATAATTGGCATTTCGGCATGCTGAGAGCATTTCGCCATGAACAACTGGCATTCGTCATCAGCAGCAGCCATGGCTAGAGTAATACGAACTGCTGAACTAAATTTGAGCGAAATGGTGCTGCTAAAAAGAGGAGCTGCGAATGCGATCTGCAGGAGAAAGGACCGTGAAGAAGTTCATCGCCAGCAGCAGCTAAGTCGCGCAAGGGAGCCAGCTGCTGCTCTCTAATCTCAAGCATTTCGGTCGCTTGGATAAGCTACGATCGCGACAGCGGCAGCCATTGCACTCTTGATCTGGGCCTAGAAGGTGCTGCTAAGTGACGAGAAGGGAATGTCGAGATTGAAGGTTCTTGGGGGAACCAGATCTGAGCAGGAGAGGCGAGAAAGTGGAGCAGCGGAACTCGAAACCCTAAGGGGAGAAACGCGGGTGTTGGAGGGGAAAGCTAGGAAAAGGGTTGGCGAGATTGGGGAAAGTGCAACAGGAGCGGAAAATCGAGCACTGCACACCTGAGGAACGTGCAAAACTGCTACAGTTCGTCTGACGCGTTACCGATCTCAACGGAGGCCCCAGCGTCAGTCTTTTCCGCAATTGACGTCGTGACCTCGATTTCTCGCCGCAATCAACGGGTCGACAAAGGGTACGTATGGTAACATAACCACCTTATCCCTCCATCCTCCACAAAAACGAATTTCAGTGAAATCTACAGCAAGGGGGAGTGTTGGAAATAGAAACATAAGGAAACATATATGCTGTTGGATTTCACTGTAGTCCTCTATATAAGCCTCTAGGCCCTACAATAATTGTACAATTATTGTAGGGGCTGCATTATTGGAGTCTAGAGGTTTGGGGGTAGAATTATTGGTACTCCATTATTAGAGTGACCATTATTGGTGGTACAATTATTGGTGTGGAGAGATAGGGCAGGGTAGTTGGTAGCATAAATTCCCTGCTGTGTGGTTTCATTTCTCAATCCATTGTTCTGAATCCATTCAGTTGCAAGGTTCTCTTGCTATTCTATTTCACAATCAAGGCTTCCGCTACGCCGGCACTATGCCTTTCTAGCATGATGCTTGCTTCAGAGATTTCTTCCTCTTCGCTGGTTGTGGATAGATGGCAGCAAAAACTGATAATCTGGAAATATTTCGAAGTCCAGCTTCCTTGTACTTGCAGTTCTTGACTTTCCGTGAAAACGTCATGATTCTCAGGTCTCATTTTGGGTGGAGATTTAAAATGGACTCGACCACTGAAGCTTCCTTGGAGTAACTCTATGTCTTAAGCTTGAAAGCAGCGTTATAACCTGAAAATACAGATATTCTCAAGTGACGTTACGACTAACCGATGTTCTCTGTTTGAACACAATGTTGGTATCATAAACAAGCCCTTGAAGAGTAGATCTAGAAAATATCTTCAGATCCAAACCACAGTCCTCCTGAACCTTCTTACCAGGGCCCAAAATTGGTTTTGGGGCACCCTGCCATATCAGGGTCCCCCAGAGCCCTTTGCCTGACAGTCAGGGTGGGATTTTTTTTGCCCGGTGCTAGTCAGTGTGTTTTGGCTAGTATCCTGTCTTTGTAAGGCTATTTATGAAACCACCCTGTGTGCTAGGGAAAATCAAAATGCCACTACTGCTTCCCCTACATGCAACCATACATAACCCACCACTAACAAAAGATTGCATCACTCATTCTCTGGTCCCTCCTGGTGCTCTGTACTTGCAGTTGTGTCAGGGACTGCTGCAGGGTTAAACTGAGTATCACTTGGGTTGCTGCCAGTGAAGTCTCGGATTGGCTGCCTGTGTCTGTCGCCACGGAAGATGCGTGCGACATCGAACCAGTCCACGGTGTACTCAAGGAGAGAGCAGCGCATGAGGTGTCCCAGTGATGTGTCTGAGATGCTCCCCCGGCCCCACGTCTTGATAATGTTCTGCTTGCTGAACCCCCTCTCGCACTCCACCGTGCTCAGAGGCAGCACAGCGACTGCTTGCCACAGGAGCATGATGTTGGGGTAGGAGCGCTGCCACTGGTCGTCGCGCAGAGTGTTGCTGAGCGCCTGATGGAAATCTTCGTCATGGTGCTGGGAATGCATAGTCGATGTAAACATCCAGAGCTCAGCGACAGCCTTCGTGTAGTTGAAGCCTGAGGCATAGGGGAAGTGATTCTCATAAGAGTACAAAGCGGCAGATTAGCGTTGGGAGGGGGAAGGGGGGGGGGGAGAGGTGTTGGTCATCAAGAGCATAAGTCATGGGAAGCAGGCCGTGTGCATGCTATTACACCAGGGTGTGACATTCATGTGTGCGCAGAATGAAATATCACAGAATCAACGGGCACAAACCGGGCAGGGTCTCGCGGAAGAGCACATGGAGCTGCTTCAGCCAGCGCTTGAACGCCGCGACACGCTTGTCATCGTCGAGAAGGTACTTCGATGACAAAAAGAGCTTCGAGCCATCGAGGTGAGACAGATCTCTCAGCCGCTTCTCAAGCTGCTTCACAACCTCCCGCACAAACTTGGTCGACAGCTCGTTGCATGCTGTCGCGTCACCTGCTGTCGCGTCACCGTCTGGGTCTTCACCGCCTGGGTCTTCATCGGCCAGAGGTCGCTCGTGGAGCACGAACTCATGAGAGGATGGGGTCCCATCTCTATCGACCCCTTCCACCTTCATCTTCCGCTTGTCCGGGTCCGACTTCCCATGTGCACGGATGAAGGCAGGCAGATGCATCTTGTCGCCATGACCGAATGTGTGTCCCTCGGGGACACGGAGGTAGCGTTGGGTCAGGCGCATCCTTGTCTTCTCAGCAAGGTGTGCCACCAGAGTCACATCCACCTGTGACGCACGTGCAATACGGAATGAGTGTGTGCCTGTTTTTATGACGAAAATTCACATGCAAACCAGGCATCGAGCTGCCTGTGATACATCAACATAAAGCGTACTAACCTGGCGTTGCTGGAACCGAAGGTTGAGCTGATTGAGCTCGAACAGGACGTCCGCCAGGAGCCGCAGAAGCCAATGAAACTTGAACGACGTTGCCACTTCGTACAACTTCGGCGACTGGTCCTTCATCAACACAATGGCAGCCGGGAGCACTTCCAGCAGACGAGACAAGGCTTCCCCGCGAGATAACCACCGCACTGTATGGATGCCTTGGACTTCAAGGTTGGTTTGACAGAAGGTGAGCTGTAGATTCATGAAACGCGCGTGCTGGACGTTGCTGTTGGAAAGAAGGGAGGCAAACCCGCGCACGACGTCGTCGACCATGTTGAGTTCCTTCACCGCAGTCGCAGCATCTTTCGCCGCCAGAGCTTCACTGCACGACAGTGGGTGGATCGGTGAAGAAGGGAACATTTTGCCCACGCATTAGGAGAAAACGTGGATTGAAGATAAAACACAACCAAGCCGAGGGGTAAGGCGGAAAAAACAGCACATCATAAAGACGAACCGATGCGCTATGCAATGTGTGGAAACGAGATGAGGAATGTTGGCGCGGAGACGCGCGACCACGCCATTGTGAACCCCGACCATCACGCTCGCGCCATCCGTGGCGATGCCGACCATCTTCTGCAGGTCCACACCAATATGCTGCAGGAACTGAACAACAACTGATGTGAGCGAAGCCGCGTCAGTCCGCTCAACCGTGAGAAGTGTTAAAAACTCAGTCGCGACCAGCGTTCCCTTGAAGAAGGTGGCATAGATGATCAGGTGCTTCCCGTGGATGCGATCCGTGCTCTCGTCGATGCCAATCCCGAACCACGGTGAGGTCAGGAGGTGCTGCAGCTGCAGGTCCTGCAGGTAAGTCGACATCGATCTGATCTTCTCTTTGAAACCGTAGCTGCAAACACGAGGGACAGATGTGGAAGTATCAGTAGCTGCCGATATGACAGGCAATACAACATGCTAGAAAAAAACAGATGCATTTACTTACTCCGTATAGTACGCGCCGTAGCCACCAGTGGGCGGAAGATCGGGTAGTCCCTCTCTGGCTAGGAACCAGCAGAGAGGAACAAACATGGCGATTGGAGCATCCGCCTTACAGATGAACATGGCGATGTGCAGACAGCGGATTATGTGACGTGTTGATGCGTCCGTGGCTTGCCAACGCGTCAGAGTGAGTTGACGCTCACGACGCGCCTCAGCCTCAGCTTCCACCTTCAAGGCGGCCTTGTGCGCCCGAGTCGCAACATGGGCGCGCATGCTGCCAAGCTGAAGATCGCGGCCGCCCTCGCCCTTGACGCCGTACGTCGTGTTGGCAGAGGGATCGCCATGCAGCATGTAGACGTTGCACTTCAACGAGGGGCGGCCTGCTTTCGTGCGATGCAAACGAAGCCACGGAAAACGGGATGCCCAGTCAGAATCAAAACGGTGTTTCATGATTGCATACTCAGCGTCAGCATCCGATTTGGGTAACTCCTCATCAGCATTCACAAGCGGTGCTGCACGAGGAGGACTTGGTGGTTGGCGTGGGGGCTTTGCACCCCACAGAAGCTGCTGGGTGTATTTCACACCACCGGTGCGAGGACGCTTGGCAGGAGCGCTATTCACCGTTGACGGAGTGCTCTCGCCGCGGTTTGAAGGGCCCTCGTCACCACCAGGCACAAGAGTCACGGACGGGTGTGGCTCCACGACAGTCGGCGAGCTCGGTGCGCCCCACGCATATACCATGCTGACTGAACGGACTGGTGATTCGGGGCGAGGAGGTTCGTTGACAGGAGTGGCATAAGCTTTGCCCAGGCGGGGGAAAACCCCGAGCACAGAAAGTCCATTGCGAGGAGAAGCAGGAGCTTCTCCTGATTCCTCGTCTGGCATGGCAAGGTGGTGCTAGTGGAACTGAGAGGCGGATGGAAGACAGGGTGGAAGAGAAAGGGGTGTATGAAAGAGAAGGCTCTAGATCGAAGGGTTTGTCCTAGGGGAAAGCGCAGCCAGAAGGTGTGGCGCTGCGCATGCAAGCAATAAGCCAAGGAAGCCCCACCACCCACAGTCTGCAAGGACAGTCCGTGGCATGGTGGTGTGGGCTCCCTTGCCGTGCTGGATGTAAATGCTGTAGAGGCAGCGAATCACTTCTTCTGTGGTGTGGTCTGTTTTGGCGAGCTGACAGCGCGACAGCAACTGGTGGGGCTGGTTTTGTAACCATCTCGGCCTAGTGGCCAGATGGGCCTTGTTGTACCGAAACGACGCGAAGAAAGTCTGTTTCAGTGCATTTCAAAAAGTACCCTGACGAAACAGGGGAAATCTCGAGTAGGCCTGATTTTGCAAGTGTATTTCAAAAAGTACATTTTCACAGTCAGGGTCAAAAGGTAAATACACTTACTGAATCAGGGCAATCCTGGAAAAGCGGCCCATAGCAAGGGTAGAAAGGGTAAAACACCCTTGAATTTTGGGCCCTGCTTCTTACCCTTGCTCCTCCTGACCCGCCTCTATTAGCACAGGCACTCCTCCCCCAGCAACCGAGTCATGCACAGCACACACCACCCGCTGTGTCCGCTCCATCATATCCACCCATCGCCCAACCAATGCCGCCTTCCCTCCCCCCTCTCTCACTCCCCTCACGATCCGTGCCAGCTCAGCAATCATATTTGCCTCCTGCGTCCACGTCAGTACAGTTTCTCTCCTCTCAACCGTGGATTTCACCCCCAGACTCGGATTTGGCCACTTGGACCCCTTTTCAATCACAAATTCGGCCTTATCTTCCTGGAAGGGGATGCAGAAGTCCTCGAGTGTGATTGTAGCGAGGGAGCCTGCAAACTCAAGGCGCTGAGAATCAATGGAATCAAATCCACACTGGAAGAGAGCTGTTAACCCGTTTCGCCAGCACAGGTAACCACCGCAGCGAATCAAAACGCCTTCTTCGTTAACCTTGGGATCTGGAAAACCCAGCACTTTATACGGAAGCTCGAAATCTGCAGCCCAGAGTGACGCTCGAATGCAATACCACCCAATGTCTCCCAAACACCCCAATCCGTCTAGGTCCTTCTTCAGCCGAATGTCTTTCTGCATAAATTCCTCTGATCCTGGGAAGAAAAAATTCGCCGTCACACGCATGAGCTGCCCAAAAGATTCTCTATCCTGCATGGCCGCTTTCATTTCGGCTGCCCGTGGGTTGTGCATCCACATCGTGCCGTCCATGATCTGGACTCCCGCCGAATCGACGGCTGCGATCATGGTTTCCAGATCGGCCGCATTCAGCGAAACGGGCTTCTCTAGCAGAATATGCTTTCCGTGATTCGCGGCTTTCACCACCCACTCCACGTGGAGCGCAGTCGGCAGCGGGATGTAAACGGCGTCCACTAACGGGTCCGCAATGACGTCAGCGTAGCTGCCGTAAATCGCGGCGTCGCCAGCCATGCCGACCTCCTTAGCGAACTGCGCGGCTCGCTCGTAAGAACGGCTACCTATGGCGTACGGAATGACGCCTGGTACGCACTGCATTGAGCGAATTACCTTCCGCGCAATCCTCGCCGTACCTAGGATTCCGAATCTCACAGGCATGGGATTCAGCGGCGCCTCAGGTTCGACCATGACTCCTCTTTGCGAATACACAGAAGGTTTCTGGATACTCGGGAGGGCTGAAAGACCGGTAGCGCGGACGAATGGTCGAGCAAGGAGTATCGATGAGGGCAGAAAAGGAAGTGGAAGGTGGATCGGTGGCATCATGCCTTTATCACGTGGTATTCAATGCGCTCAAACAGCACCTGATGTGCGCGCAACGAAGGGGAATGCGGAGAATAGTGGCTCGGGTGTCGCGAACCTTGCTAAGGGCGTGTAAAGTCGCGCACCATTTGCGAAATTTGCAAATGGCTGGAAATCCGACGACTTTTTGGTCGTTATTTCTTTCGCGAACAACGACCACTCTCTGTCGACATTTGGTCGCCCACCAAAACGGCCTGTACTTGCCATTTTGTAGACTCGCTCACAAGTTTGCAGGCCGATTTGCAGGCCGCATGAACAAACATGTCAAATTTGCAGCCTCGCACAAACCAGCCACTTTGCGACACAGTCGCACATTTGACTCCAGTAGTGGCACAACCACTCGTTCTAACGCAGGGGCGCTTGTGCGACGATGGACACATCCGTCGCACTGACTAGTCCGCTTCGTGGCCGTTTGCGAGTCGACTTGGCGTCGTTGTCGTGTCGGTTCGCTGAAACGGCCATCAAATATTTCGTGATTTCGCGAAATTGCCGAGCTTCGCCCAAAACACGGCGAGTGTCGTAAGAGGGTTACTTTCGCCAACAACGGCCCGACGGATTTTCCCAAAAATTGGTGGCACGACTTTACACGCCCTAAGACACCAAACCGGTAAGATTGGTGTGTCAGGCAACAGTCAAGAAACCACACCCGCGACGTTCTCACAGCGCAAGCTGCTCGCTTCAAGCTTGTCTGAATGTCAAGATCTATATAGCGTGGCAGGATGGAGTTATTAGCTTAGGGTGTTGTACAGAAACTAGTAAACATAACGTGATCATTAAGGAATCATATTATCATAGATAAATTAGGGGTTTTTCGACCACGGAAATATTTTTATTTTTTCTAAATTTTTGGGTGTATTTTTAAACAAAAATGCTATCACAAGAGTATTTCCTAAAACGTAGATACTCACATATTTCAACTTTCTTGCTATCCCCTCCATCCTGCGTCTCTCGTAACGGGTACATTCCGACCCTTCTCTCAAAGCAACCGTCCACAAACACGTGCGTGGGCTGTCCGATCAGCTAGTCTCAAACCAGGTTGAACATTAGGGCGTGCAACATTGTATCGACCAAGCCTAAAATCCGACACAATGGTTGGGTCATGCGAAAGCGAGATCTGTAACGTTTGAACGAACCCCGTGTCAGAAAGAGGAGCTTAAGTTAAGAACCATGGCGGCTAGGGTTTGGCTAGGAGGTGAGTGTCGAACAAGAGAACAAGAACACGAGGTGCACCACCAACAGTTAGTAATAACTACATTATGTCATAAACTAACGAGCATGAATGATTACGTTGATATCGAACGAGTACAAGTACTAACTCTAATTGGGTTGTGCCCCATATAGGCTACCCCACTACAGCTTACACAACATAAGCAGCATTATAGTTTGACACACCCCCATAGGCAAAGTGGGGGAGAACAAAGGGTCACAAGACCAGTCAAGAAAAACAAACCAAGCGCAGGGTGGATCACGAAGTCGCCACACACTCTGAGCATAAGCGAATTGTCAGAACATATATATAGCTTATGCTGTTGTGTAGGCTATAGTGGGGTATCCCATAGGGGGTACAACCCAATTAGGGTTTCCTATATGTACTCACTTCATTCATAGTTCATTCATTCGCTTTCTCCTCTTCTCATGGAATCAGAGCAGGTCCCCTCCTAGGGACTGTTTCTAGGGCCCACCGAAGCGCGCCCCGAGGCGCGCTTTTTTTTTTTTTTAGCGACCCTCCGTGTCGCCCCTAGCGGCCCGTTGCGCCGCCCTCACCTACGCGGCCCCACCGCCCTCACGTCGCGGCCCCGCCGCCCTCACGTCGCGGCCTCGCCGCCCTTGCCTACGCGGCCCCGCCGCCCTCACCTGCGCGGCCCCGCCGCCCTCACGTTGCGGCCCCGCCGCCCTCACTTCGCGGCCCCGCCGCCCTTACCTACGCGGCCTCGCCGCCCTTGCCTACGCGGCCCCGCCGCCCTCACCTTCGCGGCCCCGCCGCCCTCACTTCGCGGCCCAGCCGCCCTCACCTACGCGGCCTCGCCGCCCTTGCCTTCGCGGCCTCGCCGCCCTCACGTCGCGGCCTCGCCGCCCTTGCCTACGCGGCCCCGCCGCCCTCACTTCGCGGCCCCGCCGCCCTCACCTACGCGGCCTCGCCGCCCTTGCCTTCGCGGCCTCGCCGCCCTCACCTACGCGGCCCCGCCGCCCCACTTCGCGGCCCAGCCGCCTATCCTCACCGGCCCCGCCGCCTATCCTCACCGGCCCCGCCGCCTACGACCGCCGAGCCGCCCTGCCGCCGAGCCGCCCAGCAGCCGAGCCGCCCGGGAGCCGAGCCGCCCTGCTGCCGAGCCGCCCTGCCGCCGAGTCGCCCGGGAGCCGAGCCGCCGAGCCGCCCTGCCGTCGAGCCGCCCGGGAGCCGAGCCGCCCAGCAGCCGAGCCGCCGAGCCGCCCAGCCGCCGGGCCGCCCTACTGCCGAGCCGCCCGACCTGCCCTGCCTGGTGAGCACAGCACCACTGTTACTGCGTGCCCCTCCCCTACTGCTTGCACTGCTACACTGTCGTCGTCATGGCTACCCCTAGTGTCCTCGCTTTTGACGCTGAGGGTCGAGCCATTGACTTTGAGGTCTGGGTCGACGACCTGCAGCTGTTCTTACAGTGCGATAGGACGGACGGTCTTTCCCTCTTTGACCTCACCTCTGGCGCCTCTCCTGCCCCTGCTGCTGATGCTGACCCCACTGTTCGCTCTCAGTGGGCCACCCGCGATGCTGCTGCACGTCTTGCTGTGCGTCGCCACCTGCCTACCACTGAGCGCGCGCACTTTAGTCAGTACAAGAGTGCTCAGACCTTGTACGACGCTGTAGTTGCGCGCTACTCTTCCCCTGCCACTGCTGCCCTGAGCCGCCTCATGCTACCGTACCTCTTTCCTGACCTTGCTGCCTTTCCCACTGTCGCTGACCTCATTACGCACCTCCGCACTAGTGACACTCGCTACCGCGCCGCCCTTCCTGCTGAGTTCTGCGCCAAGAACCCCCCCCCCCATGTACATCACTCTCTATTACATAGTCACACGCCTCCCTGACTCCCTTCGCGTAGTCAGGGACCACTTCCTCTCAGTCTGTCCCACCACTCTCACTGTCGACCTCCTCGAGAAGTCCCTCCTGGCGGCGGAGAAGAGCATCGTCGCTGTAGGAGCCTCTCGTGGTGACCCTCGCACCCCCATCTTTGAGGGGTGTTCTCCTTCCCCCCTGCTGCCCTCTGTTGCCTCTACTGCTGCTGCCGACCTGCTTGGTCTTGAGTCGGTCTGCGCGGCGTCTGCCCCTAGCGGGAGACGCCGCCCTGGCAGGGGCAAGGGGGGCAAGGGCGCGGGTGGAACTGGCGGGGGCGGTGGAGGTGGCGGTGGAGGCGGCGGAGGGAGTGGGGGTGGCGGTGGGAGTGGTGGCGGGGGCGGTGGTGGCGGTGGCAGCAGCGGAGGAGGAGGCGGTGGTGGCGGCAGCGGTGGGAGCGGAGGCAGCGGTGGTGGTGGAGGTGGAGGCGGCGGTGGCGGAGGGGGTGGAGCTGGTCGGGGTGGTGCCCCGCAGCGTAGCGGCTCTGGTGGTGGCCAGCGTCAGCAGCAGCAGCAGCAGCAGCGTTCGCGGGACATCCCCCCGCCCCAGCAGCTCCGTGAGTGGTACACGCAGCGTCAGCGGGGTGGGGGTTTTGGTCCGTGCACCTACGTCCTTCGTTCCGGCGACCGCGCGGGTGAGCAGTGTGGGGGTGCCCACCCCACCCAGCGCTGCTTTGGCCGCCTGACGGACGCTTGGCGTCAGCAGTTCCCCGAGGCTAGTGAGATTCCCCGTTGGGGAGAGCTGTCTAGGGCTGGCGTAGCTATCTTTGATCTTGACTTTGATGCTATCCTTGCTGCCATGTATGCTGTGACTATTAGTGAGGAGGGTGACTGTTACCGGTGTTTCCCGCCCGACCCGGGCATTGGTACTGCTGCGCTAGGTACTTCTGCGGCTGCTGCTCTAGGTGCCAGTGCGTCTGCACTCTCAGGTACTGGTGAGGCTGCGCTCTCAGGTACTGCGTCGGCTTCGGCCTCCCTCACCTTCACGCTTGACTCAGGGGCTTCTCGCTCCTTCTTTCGAGACCGCACCACACTCACGCCGCTTGGCCGGCCGGTTGCAGTCTCCCTGGCTGACCCCTCTGGGGGTCCTGTCCTCTCTCACTTCTCCACTGTCCTCCCGTGTCCGGCTGCCCCCTCGGGCACCTTGTCTGGTCTGTACCTCCCCTCGTTCTCGACGAACTTGGTGAGTGGTGCTGACCTGCAGGATGCGGGGGTTCACCAGTTTACTCCTGCGAGTCAGCGGGTGACCCACTGCTCGGACGCCCGCACAGGCCGACACCTGGCCACGTTTTCGCGTCGGCCGGGGTCGAGTCTCTACACCCTGACCACTGAGTCTCCTCCTGTCCCTGCGTCTGGCCAGGTAGCTGCGTCGGGTCAGGTGTTTGCTGCTGCGTCCAGGTCTGGTCCTGAGTCTGCCCCCTGCTCGTGTCGCCGCCTGTCTCAGGAGACTCTCCTGTGGCACCACCGTCTTGGCCACCCCTCCTTGCCTCGTCTTCGGGGCATGGCTTCCCGTGTCCTTGTCTCTGGTCTTCCCCGGTCTCTCCCTCCCCTTCCTTCGGGACCCGGACCTTCCTGTGTCCCCTGTGTCGAGGGGCGGCTCCGGGCTGCCCCTCACTCCTCCCAGTTTCCCCCGACAGAGGCTCCTCTGCAGACGC